GAGAGAGAGAGAGAGAGAGAGAGAGAGAGAGAGAGAGAGAGAGAGAGAGAGAGAGAACAGTTGTATACAACTTCTAACTCATATTCATGAACTAAATTTTATAATGGCAAGCAAGGGGGTATCCAGCCAATGATTAAGTAGAGTGGGTGAATATCGAAGTAGAAAATGCACTCAGGATGTGACAACAGATAGAGGTGCAGGCTGATTTCCCCCTTGATCCCTTACTGAATGGAAGCCTGGGAGAGAAGGGAGGGTCTTTAAGCTCTTTCTTAGTTAATTGGATCCAGAGTGGACAGGAAGTCCCTTGGGCCACAGACAGTGTTGCCTGCCTCTCTGAGTGTGGTGAATTTGACTCACCCTGGCAGGGTGCACCCCAAATGGATAACACCCTGGTCTCAACTAATAGTGGAAACTAAGAAAAAAATTCTCCCAGTGGCAGTAAGATAATAAGCTTTCCTGAAGCCTTCATCTCTGGAAAAAAAATCATTGATATTTACTAAGGGCTTAAATTATATGGGAACTTTATATATATATATATTCATTTATATTCATATATATTCATATATATTATATATATATTGAAATGAATGTATCCTATTAATGTTTAAAACACATTGCTTTCACAAACAGAATATTTTTAAGTCGAAGTCTACTTAATGTGACCCTTTAGAAGATTCCATATACTAAGGATCTGACTTAAGTTTCTCTTGTTGAGAAATGCAACATATTTGGTAGCGAAGAAATAAGCTTAGATTTTTTTCCCACACACAAACGTATAACCAACTCCCCAAAAATTCAAAGCTTGCTCCAGTGGCAATCATATTTAAGACTTCATAATAGATAAAACGTAATACAGAGAAAAGATTCTGCTAATGTCTGGATATAGAACTGAGAAAAGTACTCAGAATATTAGCATGGATTGCAAAGTTTATTATATAAAATCTTCATGGACTCATCAGTATGTGACATAGAAACATTTATTTATTTATTCCATGGGCATATATTCAGAAGCTTATTTGCTCTGAACTAGTTATGAGTTCATATCTTCAAAAAATATACATACTAAAATACTCCTAAATGTATTTTCCAGGGCATAAAACAGATTCCTTCGTTGGACTAATGGGCAAAAGAGCTTTGAATTCTGGTATGTATAAAATCATGTCTGAAAATATGCAAATCCACTTCTGTAACTTTTATGAAGGCACAGTTTTCAACATTCTAAGAAAAAAGGAGTAATAGACTTAACATGGGCACTTCTGTAGACAAATTTTCATAGTACTGTCTGTAGCCTAGAGTGAACTGATAGCTGCTTCAGCTAATACCACAATATTAGTATATTGCTCTCAAAATAACAGCTCTTCCAGCGTCTGCCCCATTTAGTCACTGCACACCCTGAGTCTTTGGTCTAGTCTGACACTTTTTCATAGATATTCTCAATAAAATGTCCTGGACCCTTATGGGGAGATGAAAGCTTTTCAGTTATAACTGATGTAATATGAAATTTTCATAAGATGTTTGTTTACATCTGGCAATCTTCTATTAGAAAAATAAATAGATATGACAAGCAAAATGTCTCTAAAACTACTGTCTCTTTCTGAAGTTATGGAAGCTCACCATCTTGGTGTCTTAATGGGTGGCGAAGAGGTTGAGTGTAGTGGGGTCCATTCTCATGCCTTCAAAATGGAGCAGCATTGAGTCCTTCTTTCAGTTCTAGCTTTAGAAATACATTTAAAAAGAGCCACAACTCCTCAAATCCATTTTAAACCTAAAAGAGGATTTTCCTTGACCCAAGGCTCAAAATTTCTCTTTTCTCCAGCGTGAACTTTCTATGTAAACGCCACAGGCCTATCTCTAAAGCCCTCACTGTTTACCTCATTTCATCAATTATGTTTAAATGTTAAATGACCCCATTACTGTTTTCACGGAAATTGGCTTTTCGTTGAGCACTGATAGTACTTTACTATCAGTGAAAATAGATTAAAATGATAAACATCTGATTAGAAATTAATCAGCAGCTGTCTTATCTATTTACAATATTTTGTTCCCAGAAAATTTATAAGCTATGCTGCCTTAAGTTTTGAGTATCTGAACTCACCCCAAAATCATCATTCTAGTATCTTTATCATTAGTTTACTTTGCAAATTTAGACACTTTTGTATTTTCTCACTAGTAATCCTGGGGCACCAGAAATTTAATTCTTAAAAAAGTTATGTGCATCAGTTGAAAACTTGTAGTTGTTTATTTTTATGCATATGTATATTGTCTTCCAGCCTTGAGAAACGGAATATAAATTTAACTCCCTGTGGTATTTGCTTCTGAATGTATCAGTCCTTACATAGCTATAGTTTTCTTAATAATGTGATTAATCACTAATCGAGAACTAATCACCAATCTCCACTTCTAGAATTTTTACACCTTTCAGAATACACTTTTTTAAGAACAATATAGCCAATATACAGTCTAGAGCAAATTAAATATACTTAAAAAATTATTATAGTTAATAAAAGTAGGCTCACTCCAATGAATCAGAATTGCTAGCTAACATTTTATTCTTATATTAAAATATAAGTTAATATATTAAACTTATATATTAAACATAACTCATTAAATATGTAATATATTTATATTAATATTATACACCAATATGTTATATAATATATATGACAAATATATAATATGAAAATAATATAGTTAAATATGTAATCTATTAAAACTATATTAAAACTGAAGTTAAGAAAATACAAATGGAAAAAATAGGAGGGAAATAAGCAGGCCCCATTTTACATACTTGCTGGGACATGATTATCAGGGTCGTATCCCCAGCCACCTGATCCTTACTGTCTTTTGGCCACATATACTTGTGGCAATCTGGTAAACTGAGAAACTCTTACCAGCTTCAAGACACAGAAGCTTGTAGACATTTTCAGAGAGTTCAAGGGCCAGGTAAGAATATGTTTCACTGCAGGAGAATACTGTGTCCTACATAAGCTGCCACACAGTCTTTGGATGCTTTAATTAGCTACCACCCCACTTCTGTGCAGCACAGAAATTTGGTACCCTAAAATCCTGTCAGAGATTAATCCATGCTACCCATCCCCTTCCTAATGAAAGAGAATGAGAAGTGAACTTTTGTGTCCTTCAAAAGTCTCTGAGGTGCAGTCTGCTGTAGCTCGGGCTCACATAGAACTGATGCAAAGCATTTAGATTACTCTACATGTTCCTCATAGAGGGAGGCAGGCCTTTAGAGAGCTGCACTGGGAGAGCAGAACTGATGGTAGCCCTGTGTCTTCCACCTTCTCCTCAACCTTTCTCACCTGGGAAACTATTTCCAGTAGCACTATGACTTCTCCACCTCTGCCGTTTCCTCTCGATTCAGCATTTCATGCAGGGCATTTTCCACAAGCACATTCATTTTGTTAAAATACCAATCTAAGTTATATTGCTGGCTGAGATGATGAAATACCCTCACATAGTTGGTTATTCTGATCCTCAACATTGTGGGGTTATAGATCCTTTGAAATTATTTCTAATATGATGTAATATAATGCACCTTAGCATATTTTTTTTTTAGCACAATGAGTCACAGTACGTAAATTCCTTAGTAGCCCAGTGCTAAGCACTTGTGGAAGTAGCAATTAACATTTTCACAGGCTTCCAGATTTTAAGAACTAAATCAAATTGTGCTGCTTGTTTGTGAATTCAGTGGAATGCCCAACAGAAAGTAAGGGTAATGTCAGCCTCAAGGGCAATCAGTCTATTAGCAGAAGGTATCCACAAGAGAAGAGACTCATTCCGTTACATTCCCCTAGAATAGAGTTTAGGCAGTCTTTGCCTGAAAATAACAAGGTTCTAGACACTTTAGACCTCCTAAGCTATGTTGGTGTACACTGCCTCCTCAAATTTGTCATTTTCAAAACCAAAATTGACATAGATAACACACACATGAATTGACCGTGTACATGTCCAAATAAAACTGGATTTATAAGAACAAACAGTAGGGGTACTTTTGACCTTTGACCTGTAGTTTATTAACCTTTGTCCTAGAACAAAAGTTCAGCATTTCTTTTTCAACCCTCTAATGCATGGCTACGATTGGCACAGTCTTTTCCCTGATCACTGTGAGACTCTTTCAGGGATTTAGTAAGTTGCTGAAAATTAATATCATATTGGATCATAGAAATACATTGTTGTACTTTTAGGATACAAAATATATAGCAGATGACCAAAGAAACGAGGAATGCTGTGGCCAGAACACTTCTAAGCAAGATATAAAGTGCCAGACAGGCTAGGAGGATGTACCAAAAAAAAAAGAAAAAAAGATCTTAGAAATATTTCTTCCAGGCTGAAACGTCATTTTGACATTTCAGGGATTTAGTGTATGCATTGAACTTTACTGACAACTTCTGTGAATCTCCATAACACATAGCTGTTACTTCCTGTTTGTTTGCAGTGGCTTATGAAAGAAGCGCGATGCAGAACTATGAAAGAAGACGTAAATAAACCCTGTAAACGCACTGTCTATTCATCTTCATCTGTGTCAGTGAGCAGTGAACGGTAAAAAAACAAACAAAAAAAAAACAAAAAAAAGTGCACTATGAGGAATGATTATTTATTTAATAACAAATGTCATTATGAGTAAAAAACTCAAAAAAAGTGTTTATTTTTTCACATTGTGCCAATAAGCCTTGTCATTCTCATGTGGTGACCTCCTCAGAAGTAGAAATTTAGTTGTAACCTCAGCAAAGCACAGTGTTGATGAAGTTGTACAAGCTTGCCAGGGATGCAGTCTCCAAAGAAAGAAATGCTGCTGTGAGCCAGGGCAGGCAGCTGCTGCCAGAAGCAAAGGAACCTCCTGTGTGTCTTGCACTTCTCTTGGTTGCTTTTATGCTGATGATGTATTGAGACTTTGGTATCTGACTCTATTTGTATCCTAGCAGCATGTTCCATGTGTTGTGACTATATAGAGATGTTTTTAAAAAGTTTCAATGTAATTCTCTGGTCTTCAGTCATTGTATGATGTGTTGTGATAGCTACCATTTTAAATAAAAGAATGTATCTTCAGGAATTTTGTCACATTCTTTCATTAATATGTATGTCAAATCAACAACCATTCTTCTATTAGATGAAGTGTGCTCAAAGCTGTTTGGGTTAAAACACATTCTATCTCTCTCATACACAAATGCACACATTTGAGTGCATACACACACATACAAGCACACCCTCCCAAACACATTTTTTTGCTAAGTTATTTGGTATACAATAAAGCAGTTGCCTTTTGGAATCCAAAGAGTAAAAACCAAATATGCCTATAATTTCTTATGACAGATAGGATAATAATCTGGTTCTATTTTCAAGATTAATTTCATTGATTGTTTTATTTTCTTGCTGAGTAAAATATCACAACAGCACACTATAATTTTATGCCTGTTTAAAACCTATGTGTGAATATGCTAGTGCACGGGAGGTATAGGAATTAGGATAGCAAAAGAATACACTCAGAAGACTGCAGACAGTTGAGGGTTGCCAAGCATTGATAAAGGCAAGCAGTCCTTCTTAGCATTTCTGTGGAGTGTTTTTTGCATTGCTGACATCCATAATTCTTTAGCAGAAGCCTGGGGGTAAATAAAGCAAGAATAAATAAATGCAGAATGCTGAAAGGGATGGACATATGAACTTATTCAAGGGGAAAGATAGATAAGGATCCTTAGGTCTGGTTTCATAACACACAGAGTGTGAAATACTACGAGGGGATAAAACAACACAGAAGCAGCACCACCCAGTGTTGTAAAAACACATGAACTTAGGCTGTACTGGTGACTATTGGCAATTACAGGAAGGAAAAGTCCAAAGTGCATTCTAACTTCAGTGTCTGTAACTGAACTTAGTAGTTATTTTAGAAGTTATATTTCAGTATAATATTATTGTCATTATATTTGCTATTTAAAGTCCCCTAAATCCCTATCCCTAACAGCAACAATTAAAATTCTATTGTAATATTATAACAATGTCACAAGGTATAATCAATGTACATATGTATAATCAATCAATGGGGAAAGTATTTTTACTACTGTTACTGTAATCATTTTACAGATGGGAATAGAAAGCTTAAGGGACGGTTGAAATGAGACACTGGAATATGAGATAAGTGTGGATTCCAAAGGAGCTCCTAAAGAAATGGCAAGACAAAAAAAATGTTAACCATGAAGTTGATCAAATGTGCTGAAGCAGCAGAATCCAACGCAGGAATTTAAAGTCACATTATGGGTATCTCGAGTGTAGTTGGTTACCAGGCACAAAGCAGCCTTTCTGCATCATACTGCATACATGTGCTTCACATATGTTGCCATAAAGGGACCAATGTAGTGAGTATGAGTGTGTGTTTCGAAGTGGAAGCGCTCAGGCTGAATTCAAGGCTCATTATTTCCTGCTCTTGGAATGTCAGCACACCCCTTAATTTTTCTTGATTTATTTCCCTTATGAGTAAAATTGGCATAGCAGCAGTATCAGCAATGCCACTTTGGTAGCACTCGGGTGAGAACTGCACAAAACGATGTCATAAAACCTTGAAACATTCGAGACACCGGACATAATCTCTCTTGCACAGGGTGTATTTAGTGGATGCTACTCGCTACCATTCATAGTTACCCTCTCAAATGCCTGTGGGGGACATTAGTACTATATCTTAACCTTTACAGATTTTCATAGGCTCATTGGTGTGGGGGCGGCCTTTAAATATTTTCCTCACAAATTAAATCTAGGGCTAGACCACAAATTAGGTCCTGCTCCGTGCTGTTCGAGGTTGAACTAGCTAGTCTCCATGGCCTCTGCTGACTTGTTGAGTCTATAAATCTGTGTGGCATAGCCCAGCACTGGGGAGAGACAGGTGTTCAGCTTGCCTGCATGCATGCCAGCTTACTCTTCAGGCCCAGAGCCCCAGCAGCGATGGGACCAGAACAATGAGAGGAGACCTCAGCCTCACAGTTTTACCCACAAAGCATTTATTACTAATGACTCTCAGTCCTCAATGGCACATTTCCATCAGCTAAAATATGTTTTCTTTACTACCATTCTTGCTTATCTTATTCTAAAATTCCAAAAAGATCAAGCCATATAATTAAGTTATCTGTATATTTTATTACTTCCTTCGTTTTGTTTATTTGTTTTTGTATTGGTTACTGTCACGGGTGAAAAGATGCTACAGTTGGATAGTCTGAGGAGGGTTTGTAAAGGGAGTAATTACTGAGGGTACACAGGGCATGTGGCTCTCCATACTAGCACCCTTGGGAGATGCTGGTGTCCTAGGCTCAAGAATGAACACAGGGGGCCAAGCAGCTTCAGTCTTCTGAAGGAAGTGGGAGCCAAACAGGGTGATCAAGTGTGGGCAGGTACAGCATAATGAGGGAGCCAGAAATAGATCACATCACCCTGCTCTCCTCCCTCTGACCAAATTCAACCCAAGAACAGGAATAAGATCCTGGAATCCTGTCCACACATAAGTGGTAATACCACATACTACCCAGGTGAGAGAGTGGAGAGGAGCACGAGAAGGGGAGAAAGGCAGGCACCCAGTGACATGTGCTCTGTTACAGTCAACCAAAAGGATGCAAATGCACAGAAGGTAGCATAAAGAAGTGAGTTAAAGTGAAAGTCCTCCTCTAGATGCCCGAAGGAAATGGGCTCACATGAACGCAGACAAACAACAAGTGACAAAAATAAAATATTTTCATATGTTAGATTATCTCCTTTACGTATTAAGGAGATAATATATATGCATATGGACAGGATCACCATCAAGGTGAAGCCCCAGTAGAAAATACAGAACTAGCTTGCTGTGATAATCTGATTATAAGGAGATGAGAACACAAAATTCCTACATGAAGCAATCTTTCACCAACAGTTATTTAAAACTAAGGAGATATATGTGGAGGAAAAACAAAACAAGATAGAGCTAGCTCAAATCTTTATGAACACCATGATAACCTGACAGCAGTTTGGTACACCTGCCTGCCTAAGGACGTTATTATACACTGTGTTGATGGTCAGTCCACTCTATTCTGAAAATTGCTCACTGTTCTTCCTCATGGAAGGTGTGGAAGCTATTATTAGTCCTGTGACAGGGTTTGTAGGTACAAGACAAAAACTGAGGTTTTAGCAGCTGTCAGTCAACTTGGAACTAATAAAAGGGGGAGGGGCAGAAGCAGACACCCAGATCTAGCTTGGGCCTATGGAATAAAATTAACCATTTAATTTCTCCATCCCACAAAAAAAAATGGAAATATTTTCAAACAGAAAAGTTACACCTACCTAATTTGAAGGAATTACTAGAAGACGGATTCAACAAGAAGGAAACTAAATCTAGGAAGAAGTAATTATTACCAGAAATTTTATCAAACAAAATTATCATATAAGAAATATTTCTAAGTTGAAGTTAGTCATATATATTAAAGAAACAGATATCCAAAGTGACATCTAATGGAGTTGTAGGAAAAAGTATGAATATGTGTGAAGTGAATAAATGCACAGCCAATATCATGGTCTCTTGACAAGGATAACTATTCTAGTCAGATTGTTGACACATATCTCTAATTCAAGAACTCAGAAGATTAAGGCAGGAGGATCACCATGAGTTTGAGGTAAGCCTGGTCTGTACAAAGAGATCATGGTTCAAGACTGTCCCCTTCCAAAGAAAAAAAAACCCAAAGAGATAAAGTATAGTTTTCTGGTATGACTGTTCAAAGACTAAAACTGAACAAATACATGTGTGTGTGTGTGTGTGTGTGTGTGTGTGTGTGTGTGTGTGTGTGTATCTGACAAAGTAGATAGAGGAAATGTTAAACACAAAGCCGCAGAATGCAAGAAAGAATGAAAAGGTTGCAAATATTTTTTAAAAAGGAAAAAAAAAACAGTTAAAACGCATCCACATTTGTAAGTTTTATTAGACCCACTAAAGACAGAGATGAGAGGCTGGTTGGTTTAAAAGGTATCCTTTAATGAGACTCATGCAGCTGACCAGGGAACAGTATAAATGCAGCGAGATTATCTCAGTATTTCTGCCCAGGGAAGCCTACTGGAGATGCTGTGGCCCAGGTTTTTATTGGGGTTTTGTCCATAACCACTGTGTTTTTTCCCAGACTCCCAGAGGTGAAGCGGTGTCCAACATAAAGCACCTTATTTGTACAGACTGTGTAGACTGAGCCATGATCTCCTGCAAGGAGAATTCTGGATCACAGATTAGCTACTCAGCCTTGGCTGTTCTCAGTGCCATGGCAAGCCAGCCATTATCATGTTCACAGGTTCAAACCTGCTATGTTATTCAGTTCTGTGCCCTCTGCAAGACCTGTTTTAAAAGAGTGGATGCAAACTGACACATTACTCAGAGGGAATTTACAACAAAAGCATATTTCTTTTTATTCACATTTTAGCACAGCATCTTCTAAGGATTTATGAACTTTCTCAATCTCTGTGGTGATGAGGTTCAGGAAAGAACTTTTATGCCCAACTATGAAGGTCTTTTAAAATAAAAAGAGTTGAAATTTTACTAATCTGCTTTCATCCAATGGCACTAAAAAGAACAAAATAAGTTCAATGAAAGCCTAATTCAATTAAAGAGTTAAGAGGAAAGCCAGATATTAATTAATAAAACAAAAAATGTAAGACTAAACAAAACGTAAATAGATATTATTATTTGAAAGAAATAGTTGTCAAAAGATACACTTTGGAGAAGTATCATTTAGAAAGACAGGTAACACTTGACGTTTACTGGAAATTTAATATAGACATAAAAGAATTGGAAAAAAATAAGGTAATAAAAATTTCTGTACTAAATGAATGTTTTGATATATAATGAAAATATAATGAAACTTTTGACTGTTGAATTTTAGAAACATTTAAAATTAGATGACTGAGACTGATAGCTATGACACAATTCATAGGTCATCAGCTATACCCCTCATCACATTGACAAGCAAACGGAGGAGCTCCAAACACTGGGGAATTTCAACTACAACTCCAGGAATGAACAATTCCATTTTATAGTAACCATTTGATACACAGGAAAACGAGTAA